TTGTGGTCGTGCGATCAAGCCCTGAGTCAGGCTCTGCACTCAGCACAGAGTCCACTTCAGATTCTCTCTCCCTTCTGCTCTTGCTCACTCTCTCATAGATAGATAGATAGATAGATAGATAGATAGATAGATAGATAGATAGATAGATAGATAGAATTTGCATTTCTAACTAGTTCCCAGATTTGATAACTGATGTTGTTGGTCTGGGGGCCACACTTTGAGAACCACTGATGGAGAGTTATTTTCACTGAGTCGGAAAAAATTCACAAGGCATTGTTAAGTTGAAACAAAGCTGTTTACATTATATTCTATACGTATATATACAGAAGTGTAGATGGGAAAATATTGTGGAGTTGGTATTATTCCTGGTTGTCTTTGGGATCTCATTGTAGATTCTTAATGTCGCCTACATTCTGAGTGACAGGTTTCTCTGTAAGGAGAGTATTAGCCACTGAAACATAATCAACTTCCTTAATTTGAAAAATAAGATCAGGAAGTCCTTGTCAATAGCACTAACAAGCTGGAAACATCAAAGCAGGCTTGGTCTTAGATCCCCTCTGTCTTCTGTGTCTTGTCAGGAATGTCTCTTCAGAAGCAGTCATAGACAGAGGAGCAGTGATGGGCTCACAGATATATCCTGTTCCTGATGGGTACAAAACCAGAAGAGGCTGGTGTTACAGGAGGGCTTCTACGCTTTTTCTTACTTCATTTTAGTTGTGCCACGCAGGCTTCTTCTGGAGATGTTTGAAGAAAAACTGGGTGGGACCCAAAGGGCGACCTGCCAGAAGCTTGAAGCATCTGGATTGGCGCACTCTTTGTTTCCTGACGCAGGGTAGATCCATTTCCCAGAGTATCAGATTAAGGCGTCTCCTTTCTGGAAAAAAGATTTCATGGTTTAAATTCCCGTTGACTTTTGTGTCTGTGGCACTTTGCTGTCTCCGTTCCAGCATGCAGCCTCGGGGGTCATGATGTCCCTAGCCCGCTGATATCAGTGTGCCGACTGGTGTCATGCACATGGAGCACAGAGCCGCCATTCAGCTTCCACAGTCTGGGTTCAGGAAGCCAAAGAGCTTCTAAGTTCCTACAAACCTTGACGGATCTTCCTCTAGCCTTGCATGTGCGAAGCAATTCTCAGGAGGCAGGGGTTATACGGAGGGAGGGAGAGGGAACGAGGGTAAATGTCAAGGGTAAATATGTGATAGGAACCGAGAGAGCAAACAGTTGCCACCAATGTGGAGGAAAAGGAAGGGTGGGCCACAATTTAGAGAAGTATGCAGTAGACTTTGCAGTGGAACACTTACTTGGTTGGCACTGTGACCTTTTCCATGTCCTTGCATTACTGTGGTCAATAAACCAGGAGGTAGCCACATTATTGGTTTTATTTAGAGTGCCTCACACATGTCTAACAGAATGCCAGTATTTGGGATATTATATGAAAAATAAGATGGGGCGCCTGGGTGGCTCAGTTGGTTGAGCGACTGCCTTCGGCTCAGGTCATGATCCCGGAGTCCCGGGATCGAGTCCCGCATCGGGCTCCCTGCTCAGCAGGGAGTCTACTTCTCCCTCTGACCCTCCCCCCTCTCATGTGCTCTCTCTCTCTCATTCTCTCTCTCAAAGAAATAAATAAAATCTTTAAAAAAAAAGAAAAAGAAGCCCCACATAAAACTCACAATGGATTCAGTGTTTTTTATTTTTTTAATGATTCAAAGGTAAAATTATGTGGTGATATGAGCTATCATTAAAAGAGACATTACTTCTAGAGCACTGGGTGTTACATGCAACTGATGAATCACTGAACTCTACCTCTGAAACTAATAATACACTATATGTTAATTAGTTGAATTTAAATAAAATAAAATTTTTAAAAAGTAAAAAGAGATGTTAGTAATATATTGACTTTTGAGTGGGTGACATATTATTTGTTGGAAAATTTTCTTCCATATGCTGTTTTCCACACTTTACATGTGAATAAATGGGCGGAATATTGTTAAAGTTTAGGGTACAACTTTTTCCAAGTTTTGCAAGTTCAAAAATAGCTAGAAATGCAGAAACTGGTTAATGATTCAGTTATTTATAACTGTTTTTATAATACAAGTTCCTACCTCTTCCCTTCTAGTGCAATAACATGAACTCAGTGTGTGAATCCGTTTAAGACCGTATAAGAGGAAATTAAGTTATTTAAAATTCCCACCTATTACTTGAATGCCAAACACAATGTTATAATCAACCAATTCATTTACCAAAAATTTATTCAATATTGACTCTGTGCCAGGCACTGTCCAGGGATCAGTGATTACCCTCAAGAAGTTTACTTTCTAGACTGGGAAGATGGTAAATCAATACACAACTACCACTACAACGTGTCAGTTGGTAATAAGTATGAAGAACAAAAATGAGGCAAGGCTGCTATAAGGACTTTGTATTTTATCCTGAAAGAAATGGGAGGTCTTTGGGTGGGGGTAGATGTAAGCAGGATGACATGATCCAACTTCTGTTTATAGACATTCACTCTGGCTACTGGGTGGAGAGTATCCATTGAATTACTACCCCCTCCCCCAAATTATATTTCATTTAGGACAGTTCTGCACCAGTGGGCCTGGAGATGTGATCCTTCACAGTTGATTCTTGCCTTTTCATACTCTCAGTGCAAAATCAGTTTCTAAAATGAAATTTTTATATCCAAAGTATTCCTTAAAGAAATTTTTTCCTGGAAAACTACTTTTAGATACATTCTCTCTAAATGGGAGTTTATCCAAAGCCTACTTTTTAATAATTACTTTACTTTCAAGCTACTTGGTTATCAAAATATTTCTGAACAGAGTTTTAACATACCTCTTTTTTTAAAGATTATTTATTTATTTATTTGACAGAGAGAGAGAGAGAGCACAAGCAGGGGGAACGGCAGGCAGAGGAAGAAGCAGGCTCCCCGCTGAGCAGGGAGCCTGATGCGGTGCTCAAACCCAGGACCCTGGGATCATGACCTGAGCCCAAGGCAGACGCTTAACGACTAAGCCACCAGGCACCCTAATATATCTTTAAAAAATCAAGAGATACCTAGGAATTTTTCAGGGGAGCTCTGTCTCTTATATAAATTAACAAGATTGTTTGAGGTTTTGTACTGTTTTTTTTTAAACCTCCATAATAAGGTATAATTTAGTGTTGGGCTCCTTATAATACTGGTTTATGTTATGAGGTAGTTTGGAATTCCTTTTTTATATTCATTGGTTTCCATTGGCAATGATTTCCTCTTCCACCAGCCTCTACTCCCCCAAAGTTAACAGACCCGTTAGAGAAGTTTGTACCACTCCAGCCCAGGGCCCCTTTTTTACCCCCATTGTATAGACACACACACGCGCGCACACACACACACACACGCATGCCCAAAGTCCGTCCCTTCTGAGTCTTCCTCCCTCTGGTTTCCTCCTCAGAACTAAAGTGGGTTTTTTTATTGTTATGTTAATCACCATACATTACATCATTAGTTTTTGATGTAGTGTTCCATGATTCATTGTTTGTGCATAACACCCAGTGCTCCATGCAGAACGTTTCCTCTTTAATACCCATCACCAGGCTAACCCATCCTTCCAACCACCCTCCCCTCTAGAACCTTCAGTTTGTTTTTCAGAGTCCATCGTCTCTCATGGTTCGTCTCCCCCTCCGATTTCCCCCCCTTCATTCTTCCCCTCCTGCTATCTTTTTTTTTTTCCTTAACATATATTGCATTATTTGTTTCAGAGGTACAGATCTCTGATTCAACAGTCTTGCATACTTCACAGCGCTCACCATAGCACGTACCCTCCCCAGTGTCTATCACCAGCCACCCCATCCCTCCCACCCCACCCCCCACTCCAGCAACCCTCAGTTTGTTTCCTGAGATTAAGAATTCCTCATATCAGTGAGGTCATATGATACATGTCTTTCTCTGATTGACTTATTTCCCTCAGCATAACACCCTCCAGTTCCATCCTCGTCGTTGCAAATGGCAAGATCTCATTCCTTTTGATGGCTGCATAATATTCCGTTATATATATATATATATATCACATCTTCTTTATCCATTCAGAACTAAAGTTTTAAATTGCCTTTCGAGTCTATCTATAACATACACAATAAAAACAGCTTTATTACTTCTACTTTGCATTTAACCATACTGTTAACTAACTTGACCAGCCATTTTACTCTCTATATTTGGATTTAAGGGACTTGTAACGATTTCAGAAATCAAATACCCCTTGAGAGGGCTGTATTTTTACTACTGGTAATAATATTCCAAGAATGTGCCACAGCTTGGAAGGCAGATTCAGAAAGGGAGAACCAAAGGTACGTATAGCAACAGTGGCCCCAATTAATAACTGATTAGTCTTTGAAAGGGTCACACCTCATTTGGAAACAGAAGTGTCATCTTGATTTTGCCATCACTTCCTACCTGGTCCTCCTGCTTCCTTCTGTTCTTCACCCCTAATAATCCATTCTCCTCACAGTAGTGAGAGTTATCTTTTTTAAAAATGTAAATCAGATCACATCACTTTTCTGCGTATGACCTTCCAGTGGCTTCCCACTACAGTTAGAATAACTACCGTGGCCTTTAAAGGACTCTCTATTCATGATCTGTCATGTACTGGTTCCATCATCTTCTCTGAAAACTGTCCCCTTGTTTCCTGGACCTCAGTCACACTGGCCTTGTTCTTCCTTTAATAAGCCAGGCTTGATTCAGCTTCCAGGCCTTTAAACGTGCTCTTCCTTCTGCGCAGAATGCTCTTCCCAGTCTCTGCATGGCTGCCTTCATCTCGAGAGTCAGGTCCCTGGCGGCTATTCAGTTCATACTTACTCTGCACATCCGAACAGGCAGCACACCTGTGCGATCAAGGTCGAAAAGCCTCTTATCTTATCACTTGCAGATGACAAAAGGCACAAATCACATCAAGACTATATGAGGCAAGTGATTTGGGGGTTTTGCACACAGTCCTATATACTCATGGTAATTTTTTTTTTCTTTACAGGTTATTTTCCGAGCTTTGTCACCGCCATACGATGCCGAGAACCCTTACAGTGCCAAAGTGCAGGAGCAGCTGAAGATTACCAACCTCCGCGTGCAGCTGCTAAAACGGCAGTCTTGTCCCTGTCAGAGAAATGACCTGACTGCAAAGCCTCAACATTTTACACATTATGCAATCTATGATTTCATTGTCAAGGGCAGCTGCTTCTGCAACGGCCATGCTGATCAATGCGTACCTGTTGATGGCTTCAGACCGGTCAAGGCCCCAGGAGCATTCCACATGGTATGTAAAACAGGTCCTCCCCTGTGAAAAACAAACCATGAGTTACCTTCAGCTTTGGGCATTGGTCATCTAAGTTCCCTCAGAGTTGGTCTGTGCTCACATAGCCCTTCCTGTTTCTCCCTCGGCTGATTCACTCCTCCGACTCCATACCCATCCTAAAAAGTGCCAGTTAACTTGTTTTTTAATCTTCAATTTTAGAATTATAAATAGTCAGGCATGATAACCAGATTCCCGGGAACACATCCATGCCAATTGTTAGTACCATGACCTTCAGATACGAAGTGTAAGGTGAGGAGCAAGAAGGGTTGGCATAATCATACTAGTGGTATTATCACATAGAGCCAGCTTGGACAGTAAATGGGGACCATTGTTGAGTTGAATTTTAAAGTGGAAAAAACAAGAACCTCAGTTTAATGCCTGGTATCTTTTGCTGTCCGGCTAATAGAATGAATAATAATTCTCCTCTGTGAAGAGTGGCCTGACCCCCTGTCACTCTAAGCCAGAGTTAAACCCTCTTTCCTCTACGGTCACGCACCCCCTTGTGTTTTCCTCTGAACTTTTACTTGTCTGCATCTCTTGGGAGATCACAAACTCCCGAGGACGGGGACTGTGTGATCTTTGTATCCTCAGGACAGTGTATTAACTGAGCCAGAGTTAGGTGTTTGGTAGGTGTCTGATTGAATGATATCAACACAGGAATAGAAAAATGATGAAAAATTACTGTCATTGTCCTCACATCACCTTCTCCCCCCCCCCCCAAAAAAAGACACAAAGTGGCTCAGACAGCAAGTGCCTTTTTGGGATGCACCCAGAGCTATGGCTGGGGATTGGGCAAAGAGAAGGCAAGGAGGAGAGCACTCCGATTTTTAAGTTTTATATTTTACTCTGATACTTCTGTTCAAAACAAAAAATAAGTAAAAATTTAAGACCTCAGATTTTCCTTACTTCATTTCCTAGAGAGGAGACTTCCACATTTGTCTTCTTTCTCCCAGCCCTGATAGAGGACAGGGCCATAAAGGACCATGAACCAGTTAGCCAGCAGAAGAGTTTGTGTTTGCTGGGCTAAGTCCCTGGAGTGCACAACAGCACTGGGGTAACGAAAATGACTAGGGCAGCGACCAGAGTTCCAAAAACAGGAACAATGCTATTACTCTAGAAACGAAGCTGGGGCTTCCAAGTTGGAGAAAATGGAGCACTCACCCAGCAGACACCTACTAGTTTGCAGACATTAATGGATCTTTGAGCTAGCATTGCTTCAAATAAAGGATGGGATAATTTGTAATACCTAAGTTAATGGGGTTTAGGTATGATTCACCTAGAAAATAACCCAGATATTCTAGAGATGTGTCAATCTACTAGACCGTAAACTAGAAAGCTGGTGTGAGGTAGAATGCCAATAAATTTCTGCCATTATATTTCAGTGAATGAGTGAAAGGAGAGCATGCAGGCTGCAATGGGCTGAGTGTTTCTGTCCCTCCAAAATTCATATGTTGAAAACCTAATCACAGTGTGATGGGATGTGGAGGTGGGACCTTTGGGAGGTAATTAGGTCATGAGAGTAGAGACCTCATGAATGGGATTAGTAGCCTTAAGAGACCAGAGCGCTAGCTAGCTCTCTTTCTGCTACGTGAGGATACAGTGAGCAGGCAGCAGTCTGTCACCCAGAAGAGGGTCCTTACGAGAACCTGACCCTGCTGGCACCCTGACCTTAGACTTCCAGTCTCCATAACTGTGAGAAATAAATTTCTTTTGTTCATAAGCCACAAAGCGGTCAAGGTATAAAGCCTGGAAAACTGCAAGCTGAAGACCAACCCCACTGGCCACATGGGCTGTGACTGTCTCTCCAGATGGATTCCTCTGTGCTTCCAGAAGCACGGCTGGCCAGGCCATGCTGTGGGACCTCCACAAAGGCAAGTACCTTCATATACTAGATGGCAGGGACACCATCAATCCCTGGGATTCAGCCCCCACCACTATTGACTCTGGGCTGCCACAGGCCACAGCATCAAGATCTGAGACTTGAAGGGCAAGATCATTGCAGATGAACGGAAACAAGAAGTTATCAGTACCAGCAACAAGTCAGGGCCACCCCAGTGCTCCTCCCTGGTCTCTTCTGCTGACGGCCAGACTCTTCGCTGGCTACGCAGACGACCTGGTACAGGTATGGCAGGTGACCATCAGCACCCCCTAGAAATATATGCCAGAGTTTTAGAAATTAAAAAAATGGCTTTCTGACTTAAAAAAAAAAAAAGAATTCTATTAATTCTGCTAAATTCAAAAAGGGATAAATAGAGTTAACAGAAACTTTTGCAAAAGTCTTAAAATATAACTATTCTATACAGCCTTCTGCCAGTAAGAAAGCTGTCAGTCTATGAGCCTGAGCCTCCACATCTGCACCACTCGCCCACCACTCCATTCTGCCACTACCCATCAAACCTCTTGCTTCCACCATGGTGTTGTGCATTCCAGCAGTGTCCTATCCAAAATCACTGCCACCTTCCACCCCAACCTCACCAGCTGGCCTCTGCAAGAGTCAGCTCCTGGTGAGCCCATGTGGAGATGGGGCCCCAAGATCCAATCCTGGGAGTCACAAAAGCCTATAAGAGACACCAGCAATAAAAAGAAGAATCTGGTAGGTGGTGCCTTGGAAAAGCCTTACATCCTCCTAGTGTCTGGAAGGCAGAGGCCTAGATTGCTGCAAAAAATTTGAACAAAGAAAATCTGCCCCTTGCAGGACTGGCTGAATTTTGCAAGGCATCTATAGAACTAACCCTGGATGAGAACGGCAAAGTGTTGAAAATTGGCTAGAATGTCACTGTGCAGACCATTTCTGGAACTGAGGCCTTAGGGATCAGAGCTAGTTTTCTGCAGAGATTTTTTAAGTTCAGCCAAGATGTCTTTCTGCCCAAACCATCAGACACACCAGCATGCAGCTACAAGGTTATCAATACTATGACCCCAAGACTTGTGGCTTTGACTTCACAGGCACTAGGGAGGACATTTCAAAAATGCCAGAGCAAAGTGTTCTGCACACTCCTGCCCACAATCCTGTAGGAGTGGACCCTCATCCTGAGCGATAGGAGGCAACAACAATAGCAATGAGAAAAAGAATCTCTCTCTGTTCTTTGACATGGCCTACCATGGCTTTGCCAGTAGTGATGGCAACAAGGATGCCTGGGCTGTGCCCCACTTCACTGAAGAGGGCATTAGTGTTTGTCTCTGCCAGTCCTATAGCAAGAACACAGGCTTCTATGGTAAGCATGTGGGAGACTTGACTGTGCTCTGCAAAGCTGCTGATGAAGTCAGAGGGGTGGAGTCACAATTGAAGACCTTGATCCATCCCATGTATTCCAGCCCTCCCCTCAATGGAGCTCAGGTGACCTTGACCATTCTGACCAGCCCGGATTTTCAAAAACAATAGTTGCAAGAAGTGCAAATCATGGCCAACTGTATCATTAGTATGCGGATTCAGCTGGTCTCCAATCTCAAGAAGGAGGACTTCTCCCAGAATGGGCAGCACATCCCCGACCAGATTGGCATATTTTGTTTCACAGGGCAAAGCCTGAACAGGTGGAGCAGCTGACCGAGGAGGTCTCCATCTACATGACAGAGGTCAGCCGCATCTCTGTGGCAAGGGTCATCTTGGACAACTGGGCTACCTTGCTCATGAGATCACCAGATCACCAAGTAATTTCCCTGATGAGAGGGAACAGAGACAACTGTCCTGTCTTCATCCTTTGCACATGTGAGATTCACAGGATGAGGAAGGGTGGAGGTGATGAGTGGATCATTTCTTTCAACCACAGTGATTGAATGTGTTCCTCAGAAAAGAACATGTACTTAAACAGGGCAGAGGCATCCATAGCTGGTGTCTGGAACTGTGTGGCTTGAAACCGAACTCTCCCCCACCTTTTTATCCACAACTTTTCTGAAATAGTTAACATGTATGAGAAAGTCCTATCCTTAAAGAACCCATTAATCATGCCATTGCAATATTGCAGAAGCTTTAACTTAAGTACTTTATGGTCTTGAGAGGTCCTCAGTGAACCCAGCATGAGACATAGCCCTTGTTAGAGGCTTTGTGAGAAGACCTAATCCTAACATTAATAATGGTCAGCCTGCTTGTCTTCCCATGATTGAGCAATCTTATCAACAGACCATATTAACTGAAATCGTGTTTTATGAAAACCAGGGTCTGCTGCCACTGCAGCAAGGAAAATAAAAGATACTGTTTCCTGTTTTGTTTAAGAAAAAAAGTTTCGCCTTTTTAATGCTTCCAGGCATTTTAATGCTCCTCTCTTTTCCCTTATCTGTGCTGCCCTTTTCCTGAGGCACGAAGATCTATAACTAGCCTAGATTTTCATCCTGTTCTACTGGTTGATTGGCCATCGACCCCATCTTCTCAGGATTTATTTATTTGAAGAATGAAGGACATAATTTGCTATTCATCCCATAACCTCATCTTTCTCAGCAAAGAATAGTGAGAGTAGGCAACTGCACCTTATTTTAGCATCCTTTTTAGTGATTGTTTAATTTTCTCCTGTTGGGTTGTTGCCTCTGCCCAGTGGGACCTCATCCTTCCATTCAGTGTGGTTGTGCAGTCCATCATCTCACATCATGCGGGTAATACCAGGAAACAGGATATTCTGGACCTTGGCTTTAACCTTAGGGTGCTGCCAGCTGGGCTCAGGCTTCACCCTTGGAAAGATAACAACCATTTGCTCTAATCATGTAGACTTATTGCAGCCTGGGTTCTCTGTTATAATAAAGTTACTGCAGGGCCCCTCTCCCTGCCCCCCAAAAAGAAAACTGTTAGCCTATTGAAAGGATCTGGATAACCAAGTAAAGGGGATTATTTAGTATTTTTTATTTTAAAAGGATGTGGGAATGAGAAGTCTCTATCCTAGAAGACCCTATGGGATAGAGACCACACTTCCTTACTAATCTCAGGTCACTTTGAAACTGGAAGCAACTGCCTTTTAAAGTTGCTTTAACTTTAA